AATGACTTACACTCACCAGGTGCAGTAACGGTGCGAATCATATTCCATGACGTAATGCCTTCCTTAAGCCCATCCGATACTAAAGCGGCTAACGCTGTGAACAGTGCGTTGGGTGTTTCGCCTCGGGCAATGCCGGCGACAGCATCCACAACAGCTTCTACCATAGTTCGTTTTGTGGCATATATGGGGAGTCCAACAACAGATAACTCCCGTGCACGAATTTGTTGACCATCAGATGACCTAGGAAAGGAAGAATAGGAAAATAAGGGTAAAAATCAATAAAAATCATACCTTCCGCTTCTTGGCATGAGTTCATGTGCAGTTTCTGGTCTATCTGGTGAGCAATCACACAGCACATGTCGCGATGCAGTGGAATGAGCCCAACTTGGCGGATGTATTCTACAAAAAGAAAACATCAAAGCCAAAATGAAATAAAATTAAGAAAAATCAATAGATTACCAACCTTCTTCGCACTCGAAAGCATGTCCTGCACGGCTCGGTTCGTTTTCGTTCGATACAATTGGAATGTGAGGACGAGCCCAGCAACTGGGCATTCGACTTGAAAAACGAACACGCTTCAGCAACATGTCTGCAATTAATTTGTTTAGAATTGGCTCTATTCTCTCACTAATAGGTTTTAAAGCAGATTGGAACAGAATTAATGATGGCAGCTGAGAGGATGATGAAGAAAAGGAAAAAAGGAAAAGCCTGCAAAGGTAATGAAGTAGGAATAAACATGAACCCGTTAAAGTAGTCTGAGTTAGACAAACCAGTTTCCAGAGAACCTTAAACCTAGAGCAAGCCCCAATAGAATTAATCAGCCTTAAAACTATTACTGATGCGCGCAGAACTGGTTTACTAATGGTAATGGAGGTGACTACTGTGATAGCTCATCAGGCACCAGGTATGTTTAGTACTATGTAACTCAAAAACTATGTCAAGGCCATAAATGACAGAGTTGACCTTGCAAACTTTACTGCACTCCATTACTGGTTTGCCATCATCTCCCTTGATCGTTGCGTCGTCAGAGTGATTGATAACTACCAAGGAGGCATGATGCAAGTTTTACAACATCCCATACAACGTATTCGAGGGCAGTTCAGATCTCGTGACCTGGACTTGTATGCGTATTGATTGAGAGGCCTGAACTAACAAGGGAAGCTATCTAACTTAGCTCGCGCTT